ATCGAAATGTCGGGCCTCCAGGTTCGACCTGTACGAACCAGGCAAAACACTTCGGTCAGACATGAAAAATGTGAAAAAAATGTCGAACGTGGCAAAACAACGCGACGCGAACCCCACGCTAGGCTTGGTTCCGCGTCTCATCCTCCCCCAGATCCCCCCCCATGGCGGAAACACTCCGCCCTAGTATTCGGGGGATAAAAAATGGATTCTGTTGAGTTGCCAGGGCTTACGAGGGATGTAAATTGGATCCCTCGACTCAGCATTTCGTGTGAATATTTACCCTAGACTCTAAATTACTGGGCTGCCACGATATCAGAAATATAATGTTTAAAAGGCCACTTTCGAAAAACTAATTACTATTTACCAGACCTGAAATTGATGTAAGGTGGGAGGTGGGCTACCTAAACATTTCGCAACAGTAAACGCGACAGGCAGGCCGAAAACTGTTGTGGGCGAGAAGCTTCTTCTCGCGCAGATGCAGGTTCGTTCGCCCCCGAATACCGAATCGCCCGTCCGCGCCTTCCCCCCCTTACGTTCCGCTTGCGCCTGGACCCCAGACCAGGAGTCAACGACGGTTGACCCTAGGTTGACCGGCCCAGACTAGAAACCCTAGTTTCGAAAATGGATTTTTTACCCCCCCCCCCTCGCTGGATCCCCTGTGCTGCCGAACATCGCCCAGAGTTCGCTTCGGTAGAATTTCGCTCCCCTGCAGAAGGCGACGACCGTCTTCTGCAGGGTCAATGCCAGCTCAACAGACAAATGGGACGAGAATGTGACGAGAATGTGACGAGAAAGGGATTCACAGCCAACAATGAAGAAGGCTAGCCTTTTGCAGTAGCACAACCATACTTGGCGAAAACCTCGGTTGGGGAGGTTTGGGGGGAAAGGGAAATTGAAAGGTTCGGAAGCGACGCTAAACGGACGTGCACAGCCTGCTTGGCGAAAACTTCGGTTGGGGAGGTTTGAGGTAAGGCTAAAACGAAAGGTTCGGAAGCGACTCGAGTCAGCTTCAGTTTCGTCAAATCTGCCGTGCCTGTTCCCCGTCATGTTCGGGGCTTCGTAACATACCTACGTGACGTAAACAAACCTGGTGACCCCTGTGTTGTTGCCTCCACTAACCAAAACCGAACGTACAGACCTCCGAAGTCTGCGCCTGCCTACCTAGCCGAACCTGGTGTGCCAGACGTACACCTTTTGCTTCGACACGGCAAAGGAGGACCAGCCGTGCCAGCTGTTCCTCCTAGGAACTGTTGCATAGGCGCTTTTTTGCCCGAGTTTTCTGTGAACTCGGAACCTCGCAGCATTCAGAGCTTCGCACAATGCCGTAGCGACATAAACGAAATCGGTAACTCTATAAGTCTGCTTCCAGCAGGTAGAACCAGATTCAAAGTAGTGGTTCGGCGGTCTCCGCTCTCTGAAGCGGAAAGCAAACTAAAATTCATCCACCCACACTCGTGCTTTTCACGTCGAGGCTTTAGAAGTAGGCTCTGCTATGCGTTGTCAGTCTATTTCGAGGCGCATAAAAGTTAAACGCTATGCTTCACTGTCGGTCCTACCAGGTTTAGTCGTCGTGATGATGGGTGCGTTGAGCAATCGGCTCGGCGCGCTTATGCTCTTCCTTCCGACGTGTTTCGCCGCAGTCCGCAGTGTGACTATTGTACCCTCCCAAGGTCCGTGTAGTGCTTTTTTTTCGCCATGTCACGCCGTCATTTCGCCATATCACGCCGCGATTTCGCCATGTCACACCGTCATTTCGTCGCGTCGCGCTGCGATGTCGTCATGCCACGCCGCCACTTCACATGTCACGCTGCCTTTTCGTCATGTAATGCCGCTATTCACGCCGCCATTTCGTCATGTCACATCGTCATTTCGCCGCACTACCATGTCGCCATCTCACGCCTCCATTTCGCATGTCACGCCTTCAGTTCGCCTCGTCGCGCCACCTTTTCCCACGTCGCACCGCCACTTAGCCACGTCGCGCCGCCATTCATCATCTAGAGATTGGCGAACGGCAGTTTGCCCAACCCTCAACGCTATCCTGCCTGTTAAAGCGTCGCTCCAAGAAAAAAACCATCCCTTTCCCTTCTGCTATTCCCGTTCCACCTGCCGCCATCCCAGTAGCTTCCATCTGCAGTCCGCTGTGTGTTGGGCCGTGGCCATGTCATGGCCTGGTGGTCCGGTGCTATGGTCTTTTCTGCTGTGCTCTATTCGTGTCCGCTCTGCCGTGAAGTTTGCTCGCCGGCAGGTGAGTGAATTGGCAGCAGCGTGGAGTTTGTAACGCGGCGATTGCCGGTTAGAGGTTGAACTTTTTGCGTTGCTGCTCTCTTGCTCACGAGTCTCAGTTCCCTCCCTCTCTGCTTTTCGTCCCTCCCCTAGAACCTGTGCTGCAGGTGTGCCAGCACACGTTGGGGGAGGACGTTCGAAGGGTGGCAGGTGGGAGCGATGTGTGTGCCATATGGGCCGGCTCTCAGTCAGAAGTTCGAGCGCCTTATCGAGCGCTGCGATGACCGCCGGATCTGAATTGATGTCGCCCGTTCCAGTGTCCCGCAAAACGCGCTTCGCTGCAAAGGATGATGCCGCCACGCGCGGCTCAGAGAATTTGCCGATAGATATTTGCCGCGCGAGATGATCCGGAATGCAAGCGAAGCCATTGGCGACCGCCGGGTTTTAATGAGCTGAAGGTTTGGGGAGCGACTCTCTTCGAAAGGAAGCTTGATGGATCCGAACGTGCGTCCCAACGCCATTGAGACAACATGCACTTGCAATTGACCCGATGCGCCGCGTTTTCCCAAGTGACACTTCGCAGCAATGAGCTAGGGTGCAGCCTAGCCCGAGGACCTCGATGCGTCGCGTTTTTCCCAAATGGTGAGATGGGCTGGAAGTGGACGTGCGACAGTGAGACCGGCTAGGGACTGGGATGGTGAGATTTGAGAGAAACAAATGTTGAGATGAGTGAATGGACGCGATGCGAATGAAGAGTGTGGCATGCCTCCTTCCTGCCCTTTCACGTTCATCCCCTTCTTTCTCTCTTGCGTCTCGCCTCGTTCAGTGCAACTCTGTTTATCGACTCCCGATTTTTTTCGGACCTGTTCCCCTGCCACCGACTTTGTTATTTTCTCTCTATCAAGTATGTCTCCTCGTGTACATCGAGCTGTCATTTGGCACACCTGCCTGCCACCTCCGCATGCCAGATAGGCACGACCAGCTCTACTGAGAGGTTGTCCACTGCTGCACTGCACCTCTTCCCCTGGTTTCGTTTCCTGCCCCATTTTTTATTCGAACACCTTCAACTCTTCCTACCCATGACTCCTCATCCTTCCAGATTGATTAGTGCTCTGCCGGTCCACTTTTTTCGTTCTCGCGCCTCTGCCTTCCGATCTGCTTCGCCTCAAATCCTGTTATCGTATGAGGGACCCAAAACGATTTTACCTGCCCCCTTCCAACCCCCCATCGCCCCTTGTCCCCGGTTCCCCCCCCCACCTTCCTCCCCCCTCCACCCCTTCATCCCCTCACTTCACCCGCTTCCTGTTTCTCACACTCAACACACCTAATTTCACCAAACTCCCTCCACTCACTCTGAGCTGCTTCTCCTCCCGTCTTCCCCTGCTTCATCCCTCCCGCCAACACTCTCCCTGCCGCTGCCGCTCATCACCCCCCCTACACCAGGGTGGCATGGTCCGATAGTGGAGAGGAATACACAGCATGAGCCACCAACTCCTGCGCTGCAACCCGCCTGCACTCCTGCTCCTCTTATCCGCTGCCCCTCCAAACCAGCTCTTCAGCACGCCAGGGCTTTCAGGTGCGTCTCACCTGCGCTCTTCCCCAAGTTTCGGCCGGATGGGGAGAGGTCTGGGTAGAAATGGGTGTGAGTAGGGCAGGAGGTGGCAGAGAGGGGCGAGGTGGTGGTGGCCTGGACTTGCAGGAAGCGAACCGGGCAGCTCTGTACGCCGGCCCTTCAGCACGCCAGGGCTTTCAGGTGCATCTCACCTGCGCCCATCCCCAAGTTTCAGCTGGATGGGGAGAGGTGTGGGCAGCTCGGTACCTGCAGTGCACTGTATGGGGTACGTATGAATGAGACATCCTAGGCATGAGCGTGGGCCGGGCCATACCCACGCCAGGCTGAGATGATGAACGTCGGCCGAGACGGGCCGGGTCGGACGTGCGCCGAGCAGCAGTCCGGGGTTTCGGCATTGGGCTGGGCCGGTCCGGGCCACAATATGACCCGGGTCAGCCTGGTCAGTGATGCGTGCGAACCAATCCTTGCGCGTCACATTTTGTGGGTGCGACAAGGAGGGAGTGTGGGTGCAAGTAGGGGGTTGTGCGGATGGGAGCGTGGGGGTATCCGCGGGCGCGATCAGGGGGGAGTGCAGGCACGAGATTGAGGGCTGTGGGCGCGAGAAGGGAGGCCTGGCAGGTCGGGCGGGGACCGACTTGGCCTTTTATACACGGCTGCGGGCCGACAATCCAGCAAGTAGGCCGGCGCAAGTCCGGCTCGCCTATGAGGCTGACGTGGCTCGCCTATGAGGCTGACGTGGCTCGCCTATGAGGCTGACGTGGCTCGCCTATGAGGCTGACGTGGCTCGCCTATGAGGCTGACGTGGCTCGCCTATGTGTCCCATCCGGCTCGCCTATGTGGCCTTTTCCATCCACTTTCACAATGGCAATAGACAGTTGCTCTCGGGTGGTCTTACTTTTGCCTCTACAAACATGTCTAGTTACAGGTAGGTAGTGTAGTCATTCACTATGTGTAGGATGTATGCCATAGCCCATGTATTGAGTAAAAAAATGTTCTTGCTGCTTTGTGTTCTTATCCCTTCCCCTCCCTCCCCCGTCCTTCCTCCGCATCCTTCTCCCTCTCACACCCTGCTAATGTGCCTCGGTGCGAACGGTGTGCTTATACCGGCGTTTCTTGCCACCCTCCTTCCCTTTCGCCCGTGCCCCCACACAACCCTCTTTACCGCCCCTCATTCTCGCTCTCCCATCTCCCCTCTGTCAAGCAGCTGCCGCGTGCTGATGCTAACAGCATGTTTGTGGGCACGACCTGCCACCACGTGCCCATGCCCACAAGCGTGTTCGGATGGGCTTCCGCTCGCCCCCCTCTCACACAGCTGATGAGTGTTGGCGCTGACAGCGTGTTGGTGGGCGCGTGCTACGACCTGACGACGGAGGCACCAAGGCAGAAAGATCAGCAGAGGCGGCAAGCGACACCACGAGCACCTTCCGGAGGAATAAGAGTGCAAGATTTGCACCTGCATGCATGGTGAGAGCGGGGTGGGTGGGTGGATGGGTGAGGTCGATGCGTGCATATGCATGGTGTGTGTGCATGGTGGTGTGCACGTGGTGTGAGCATGGTGTGCGCATGGTGTGTGCATGGTGTGTGCATGGTGTGTGCATGGTGTGTGCATGGTATATGCATGATTTGTGGGACTATTGCACCCGTATGGAGAGTGGCAGAGCTGCTGCTTGGCACACCCCTTATGGACAAAAGCTTGCTTTCATTTTATTCCCACACGTTGCAACAGGTCTCTGTCTCTTCCCTTTCCCTTCCCCCCATCACAATGCAACACATCAGGCATGCTGTTGGGACTGGCGTAGCTGCTGCTCAGCACGCCCCTCATGGGAGAGCAGTGCTCATACGGGAACATGGTCATCCGCGCGCCCCTCATGCCCTCATGGCACAATCTCCTCAGAATCATCTCCAATGTGCTGGACCTGTCCAACACCGAGAATCAGAGCGCCCTTATGCCAGTGCTGTGGGACGTCACGTGCGAGCGCCCTCTGCTGCAGCAACAGTGAGCAGAACCGTCACGTGCATGCGTCAAGCAGGCCACGGCTCTGCTCTCCCTTGCTGCAGCAGAGAAGGGCCATCAGGTGAATTTGCGTGGGGGTTAATGGGTGGTGGGTTTAGATGAGATGTGCTGCATCTGTTGTTTGGACTTGTGAGTCAATCGTTGCAACCTAGGAAATGTGGGTGTTCATGTGGATGTGAGGGGGCATTGATGGGCAGTGTCGGTTCTCCCTACCAGGTATCCTTCTCACCCTTATTTTCCATGTATCGACTCCCCTCCTCCCTTCCCCCACCTCAACCACCCCTCCCCCCCCCCCCCCCGCCCCTCTCCTCCTCCCTCGCTTTCACCCCTTCCCCCTGCCCTTTTCCTCTTCCTTCCTTTCCTTCCTTTCATCAACTCGCACGTACCACACTTCTGTCTGTATTTCTCTCCACCCCCCCATTCCTCACCCGCGTTTCCCTTCTCTTCTTCCTCCCTCCACCCCCCACCACCTTCCCCCCCTTACCCTCCCGCTCCCTCTCCCCCTCCTTCCCTTCTCCCACCAGCTCAACAACTGCATCGACTCACGCGTGCCTCATTTGATTGGAGGCAACCAAGGAGTTGTTCGCCCATAGAATGAGGGCAATAGTACAAGGGCAAATAGACCCCCATCCATGCTGGGACACTGCAACCTACATCAACTCTTTCCCGTGCAGACACAGGCCCACTTTCGCTTCACAGCTGCCACTCGCCCCATGGATCATGCCCTGCTAAGCTTAGACAGCAAATTGTCATCTGGCAAGCTGCTCCACATGCTTACATGCCTGGTATGGTTTGATACAAACAAAATGTGGTGGAATCTCACGTATACCGTATTTTTGATAAATATCCCATACGAAAATTTCTGCATTTGCATCAGACTCAAGTGGGGCCATAATCTGCAGTAGATTGCACCCAATTTCAGGCCAGCGAGACTACTTTAAACTCATCCTACCCCTTTCTGAACGTGCAAATGCAACAACTCTTGCGGCAAAAACGATGTTTACAATCATTGTTCCATCCTACACACTACCGGTACATCCTCTCCTTTCTGAAGATGAACTAGATGCAAAGCCAGGTACGCATGTTTCATGCAGCCTCCCATCATGCACCTGGTCTCTTGCCCAACCAACTCTGCACTTGCTGCTGTCCACCTGCAAGGGACGAGATCAGTTCTACACGTCCATGCCTAACTACAATATACAGCATGCAAGTTCAGCCATCCACAAGCACCATTCCATGCCTCACTCCTCCGAATGCATGCCTTCCCTCATTCTTCGCACTTCTTGCCTCCACGCCTCTTCTCAGTCTCCCCTAGACAGTCACAGTCAACTCTTCCCCCACCTCATCTCCCTTTCCACCACCGCTCCCTACCACTCTACCTGCCTATCCGCTTATGTGAAGCATAGGAAACCTCTGTCTCTCGTATAGAGACATCTCAGCTTGGTCAGGGCAGTCAGCTGCTGCAGCCCATCATCCGTGAGTGTCGTGTCATCAAGAACAAGAAGCTCAAGCTCTGTCAGCCTCCCCACATGCACCATGCCCGCATCTGTAACGCCGTTGCATTCACGAAGCACTAGAAATCTGAGAGATGGGAGACTTTTTAAGCGTGGCAGGCCAGCATCAGCAACCTTTGTTCCCAAAAGATGGAGGTCAGTGAGATTGGTCAATGACCCAATGCCTTTTAAGGCACTGTCTGAGATATCTGTGTCGTTGAGGTTTAGCTCATACAGCCGTGGCAGCCTGTAGAGGTGCTTGATGCCCTCTGCACTGAAGCCTGAGCTAGAGGTTAAGTCAATGCTCGTCAGATGTGTCATTGTGGACACATGGCCGAGCATGGCGTCTGATAGGCCGCGGAAATTCTGCAGGTTCACACATGACCTCTGTGATGCTGACTTGATTGCCTGGATGGAATGCGTGGGGTGGGGAAAACATGACACGGGGACGGATGACCACGGCGATAAGACGAACCAGGAAGCAAGGCATCCTCTCACTTGTAAGCTACTTCTCCCAGCCTTCACCTGCCATGCAGCCTCCCGGTCGCCTTTACTCTGGCTGATTTCCAGCTCAACATTCAATTTTAGATCTTGTATCATCTGCCGTTCCTCACAGGCTGCCAGTTCCTCCATGGCACGCTGATTCAACTCCTGCACCTCCCTCCTCCCCTCCTCCTCCCGTGCACACTCCGTTGTCATTTCTTGTCTCCTCTTTTTACTCTTCCCTCTCAGGCCTGCTACATCTGATGCCCTATTGCTTTCAGTCATTTTCTGTGTCATAGCGTCCTTGTATTCCGCCAACACCCCTTTCACCACTTCCAACTTCCCTTTCACCGCTTCCAACTCCCCTTTCACCGCTTCCAACTCCCCTTTCACCGCTTCCAACTCTCCTTTCACCGCTTCCAACTCCCCCTTCACTCCTGCGAACTGTCTATCCCTTTCCTCCACCACAGCAGTTGCCTCGTTCCTTTTCCCCACAGCAGTCAACATGTGCCGCAGCTCATTCACCTCCTCCTTGTGTGCAGCCAGCTCCTCTCTCAGTGTTGCCAGCACCGCCTCTTTGACCACGTCAACCAGTGGCCCCATTGCTCTCTCAGCAGCCATATCATCCACTCTCTCCTATTCGTTTACGCTTTGGGGGAGGGTTGAGCCTCTCTGCCCACCAGGCTTGTCTGCAGGGTTTACGTAAAAGAAAAGGAGGGAGAAGGGGCATGGTGGGTACACACGCGAACAAGACCAATTACATGGGCGTCAGGGAGTGATATGAGTAAAAGAGTTGACATGGAGACTTGACGGGCAGATCTGGGAGAGTAGATTAAACATATGTATGAACACCTGCTCATGCATTTGGAATGAAGTCAGGAAGCAGTATAAGGGAGGCGAGGAGGAGAAAGTGAAGAGAAGTTGTCGGGAGGGGAAAGAAATGCCAGCAGGGATGGATAAAAAGGTTCACCAGCAGCAAGGCGGAAACAAATGCAGACACCCTAGGTGGACAGTCACAGACTAGGTAATGCACAGGCTAGGCCAGTCACGGTCTAGGACAGGTATAGCTCATAGGCTAGGCTAGTCATAGGCTCGGCTATTCATAGTCTAGGACAGCATTAGGCTCGGTCAGTTGCGTCACGAGCTAGGTAAGCCACATGCTAAGCGACTTATAGACTAGGTAAGTTGAAGCCTCGGACAGTCAAAGGCTAAGTCAGACACAGGTTATGTCAGTCAGTCACACAAGCTAGGCCAATCAGAGGCAGGGTCAGAAACATGATGGATCAGTTAGAACCTCGCACAGTCACAGGTTGAGGCAGCCACTAAAAAAGGTCAGAATCAGGTCCATTAGAGTTTAGGTCATGTGCAAGTTTGGTCAGTCACTTGCTAGATTAGTCTCAGGCGAGGTCAGCCCACAGATGCAACATGCCATACGCCAGGAAATACACATTACACTATGAAAAAATATCAGAGCCTGGCTGGTTAAAGGACAACTGAAATACTTCCGCATTATTTCGCGAATTGGCGAATAAGGCAAAGCCATTTACATTTAGACCGCAACTTTCTCCCCAATTCATTGACCACCTCACTAACCACACATTAGGACCACCTTACTGCAGCTACCTAATCAACATTTTTTGTCCACACTTTCTGCTGCACGCACACATTTCTACATTGGCTACCCACCTTTTCCTTATTTGTGCACCTATCCTGATTATACTGCTGTCGCATCGAAAAAAAAAAAACAAAAAAGTCCTTACAGTTATAATGAAATTCCAGACACCATGACTGAACAAATCTGTCTCGTCATACAGGATTAGGTATAGATTCAACCATTACTTACAGGATACATCACTCACAGACTTGGTCCATCACACGTTAAGTCAGTGGGAGGCTCGGCCAGTCACACGCAAGATCAGTCAGAGGCAGAGACCGTCAATGAGAGGCTAGCCCCCCCCACAATGTATGTCAGTCTGGTCAGATGCAAGGTAAGCCTCAAGGCAGGCCAGTCACAAAATAGGTCACTCTTAGACTGCGACAGTCATGAGGTAGGTAAGTCACCGGCTAGGTGAAACAGAGGCTAGGAAGGAACTAGCTCACTCGCATGCTAGGTGAAACAATGGCAGGTCAGAACACAAGTTCGGTCAATCAGAGGTTTCTTCAATCAGAGGGCTAGGTCAGTCACACACAGACTAGGTCAGTCACACACAGACTAGGTCAGTCACACACAGACTAGGTCAGTCACACACAGACTAGGTCAGTCACACACAGACTAGGTCAGTCACACACAGACTAGGTCAGTCACACACAGACTAGGTCAGTCACACACAGACTAGGTCAGTCACACACAGACTAGGTCAGTCACACACAGACTAGGTCAGTCACACACAGACTAGGTCAGTCACACACAGACTAGGTCAGTCACACACAGACTAGGTCAGTCACACACAGACTAGGTCAGTCACACACAGACTAGGTCAGTCACACACAGACTAGGTCAGTCACACACAGACTAGGTCAGTCACACACAGACTAGGTCAGTCACACACAGACTAGGTCAGTCACACACAGACTAGGTCAGTCACACACAGACTAGGTCAGTCACACACAGACTAGGTCAGTCACACACAGACTAGGTCAGTCACACACAGACTAGGTCAGTCACACACAGACTAGGTCAGTCGCAGACGAAGACACTAACAGACGAAGACACCAACAGACTAAGACACTCACAGGCTAAGACACTCACAGGCTAAGGCACTCACAGGCTAGGTCAAGCACAACAAGGTAGGTAGGCCCGACACAAGTAAAGTGAGTCATAGGCTACGATAGCCACAGGACAAGCGGGTCACATTCAGCTCGGACAGACATGAGCAGGGTTGGCCATAGACTAGGTCACTCACAGCAGGCTAGGTCGGGCCGCCACAGGCCAGGTCAACCATACGCTAGGTTAGATACGAGCAGCGAGTACAGTTTTGACTCGAGTTGGACGACTCAGGTCACTCGACTCGACTTTTTGTCATGTCGAGTCAAGTCAGCTCGGGCTAATGGGCAATGCAATGCATAGCCCGACTTGACTGGACATGCGTCGAGTCGGCTTGTTGAGTTGGTGATTCGACACATCACACCTGGCTCGTCCCTAGTCTACTAGGTTGTCACGACCATTTCCCGCACTTACCTGGGTCAAGCAACATTTTGCTCAGAATCTGGATCTCGCATTTTCAGATCCAATCTCGGCCGTATCTCTTAAAGCCAAGATGTTCGACTTAAATCGATCTTCGATAACGCCAGGCTATCCGCTTGCTTATTCGCTAGGTCGTCACTGCCTTAGCACCCAGCAATCAGCTTTAGGTCAGTTCCTACCTCGACTCGCGAGTTGACTCGAGTCTCCCTGCACATCTTTAGGTCAGTCACAGGCTAGGTGAGACAAGTTTCGGTCAGTAACGGCAAGATCAGTCACTGGCTGGGTCAGTCGCCGCATAGATTAGTCACAAGCTGAGGTGGGTCACAGGGTAGGTTGGCCAGAGCCTGGATACGTGACAGTGAGTGTATCAATGATGGCGAGGAAAAGCAGCACGAGAAGGGACAATGCTAAGAGGGACAAGAATGCGACAAGGGGCTCTGCTAGTTCAAGGCGGTCCGCAGAATTCGTAGCGACTCGGCATGTAACCTAAAGTTGCACACTGGCCCACTCTGACAGAAATTCGCCGAGCACCGCAATCCGGAGGGCCGACCTGGGGAACTGGAAGTGAGGCTTACCTCTATTTGAGGTTTCTTAGACTATCGCGTTTCTGCGGCCCTCGAAGATTCAGCAGCGGCGCGGAGCAACGATCTCTAGTGCGTACCGTATTTACTCTCGTGGCGAGAGTGCTCAGGGAAGGGGCAAAATGACGGGCGGGCCAGAACAGGAGGACACGACGCGCGGAAGAATGTACGGATGGCAACGAAGGAACGGTGCCGCCGTTCGTATTGATTTCGTAAAGGCGATTCGGATCACATTTCCTTACGGTGGGAAGATGCGCTCTTGCACAAGTATGTTATGCTTGGAGCATGAAGCAAACAGGAGGGAACAAGGTTCAAATTGTCACCCAGCACTCAAATCTCGAGTTCGACACAGCGTTGCCTTTCAGAAAAGAGGCAATTGCGTTTCTTAGCAGTTACCAGTGAAATTGTTTTTCGCTATCGCCGCTGAAACGATTTGTCCCACAAAGCGAACGGCGAAATAAGCAAGCACTATGTCCTTCTCTGTTCGCCCAAGTAAGTGCCCGGATTGGTACGAATTTGAGTCGCTTCCAGCGTTCGATGGCAACGCTGCTGCCTTCACCTGTTACACACTCGAAGGTCGCACTTCAGGAACCATTGATTTTCTCAGGACGACATTTGAGCTTTACGCTTTCAGCAGTTTCGTGAACTCTTCGTCGAATCAGGTGAGGCTGGTAACCCAGCATCAACGAGGGAAGCTATGGAAGCAAGAACTCACAGCTATCCCTGAAAGCGCATATTATTATTTTCCAGAACCCGCGTCGCGTAGCTGCTAGTACCAATCATCCTTTTAGTATTCTTCCGCTCCTCACGCTAATTTATCTATTCGTCTTTCTAAACCTCGCTCAGAGTGAGATTCACAACTGCTCTCTTTGTTTTTTCGAAGCCGTTATCCTCTCCGGTAGTAAAATAAACAATTGCGCGTTTCAGTTGGCGTCTCCGGCTCTTGTTGCGGAGCTCGGATCCACGTGCTTGCGCCGTTTCATTCTTCGAAACCCTAGATACTGGTTCATTTGCGATAACACCGTGTATCCTCTCCAGTAAGATTCACAATCGCGCGTTTCAGATCGTTTGGCGTTTCCGGCGCCTGTTGCGGAGCTCAGAGCCAAGTGCATGCGCTAGTCTCTCAGCACTACGTTTTACTCTTGGAAACCCTAAAACAGGTAAGGCTGGTCTCGTCATAGCATCATTTGCCTTGCCCACCAGCAACTACCCTCAATCGTTACTTTTCTTCACTTCGCCGATTTTTTGGAGTCCTAGAATGCTCCCGACCCTCTGTTTATCTCATTCTCGTAAACATGCCTCCCCACCATCGCCCAAAACACTAATGGCTCTCGCCCTGGCGCCTGACGCATTCCCACGCAAGTGCTGGCGGTGGCCCCTAAGGCGCTGGCGCTTAGCTCGCTGGCGCATAACACGCTGGCACCTATTGCAATGGTGCCTAACGCGCTGCGCCTACGCGCTGGCGCCTAAGGTGCTGACGCCCAGCGCGCTGGCGCTTTCTGCGCTGGCGCTTAGTGCGCTGGCGCCTAACAGCGCTTGCGCCATGAGCGTTGGCGCCTAGAGCGCTGGCGCCTTAAGCGGCAGCACCTTAGGCATTGGCGAGCCTTCCTTAGTCCTCTTGTGCACGCCTTAGCCATTGGTGCTAAGCGCGTTTGCCCTAGGGCGCTCACGCCTTAGGTGCTGGTGCCTTGGGCACATTTGTGCTTTTGAGCGTTGACCCTACAACGTATGCACCTAGTGCGCTGGCGGCAGTAGCGCCATGGGCGTTGATGCCTTGGGCGATTGAGCCGTGCCTTGGCGCATCTGGGCCTAGAACGCTGAGTGTGGTTTTCGTGTCAATACCTACATATTAACGTCTCTGAAACATTCTCACTCATTCGTACAAGTGCATTCGCTCATATTGATGACATGTTCGTTCTTACCATCCGCTGTATAAATGGAAGCGCACATCCACCCAGCCGTGAAAAACTCCCGTTTTCGGGTTGGCCCAGATAACGATAGTAACCAACCCCAGCCAACTCTACCCTACCCTACTCAACCCAAGAAAAGGCGGAGGAGTTTCGGTTTGCTCACACTCTCTCTCCTGCACCCTCTTGCTCCACTACCTCCCTCCCCCTCTTCCATCTCCCTCCCCGCATTTAACGATCCACCTTTTTTTTTCTTTTCAAAATTGTGTCTTGCTCACCAACCAACGATGGCCTCTGCTTCCTTGCTCTGTTGTTACTTCTCCCGTTCGACAGATCATTCAACCAATAGGGGCACGTGCGGTGTTCGTAGGTTTCGAGCGTTGACTCACTATTTTTAGATTCTCTGGAACGCAAAGCATTGATTCGCTTCAAAACTCCAAGCATTTCACTGAACCGCATACAAGGGGGACATTTTGACGCAGCGGGAACGCGGGATTGGCATGACGGCATGCCAGAGCCACTGACAATCTTACCTTTTGCATCGGCTCGACGCGACTTGACTCGCTTGACCCCCTTGACCTGTGTTGACCGGTTGACCTGCATGCAACCAACCACGTGCTGCTAGGCGCATCATGCTGCTCCTCGCGATCCCCGCTTGCCCCTCCTTTCAAACTGTTCTTCCCTTGCTGCTCGCTCTGTTAATCGTGTATCCCGTTTCCCTTTGCGGAGCGGAGAGAGCGAACCGGTTTAAATCAGTCACGCGCCTCGTCTTCCTACTTGATAACGAGTACAGCTCGAAATGCCTCGACGGAAGGTGCGTACCTTTGTCGGTTGATTAAGTAACATTAACTCTTTTTTTTTTTCTTTTTTTTTTTTTGTTATGATGATTGGACCTTCTAGGTCTTTCTCCTTCGACCCGCCATTCCTCCTCTCCCATACGTCCAATCGATTCCCTCCCAATTCTTTTCCTCCACCCCTCCATCCCCTCCCTTCCCCCACTCCCTCTCCTCTCCTCCTCACCCACCCACCCACCCACTGCCCCCCGAAGTACCCCCGCGTACTACTTCCGCGCGGGGGCGGGCGCGGGGAGGCGCAAGTGGCACGTGCATCTGCCCCAGGGCGGCTGGTGCTTCTCGCCGCTCGAGTGCCGCGAGCGCGCCAACTCCCCCCTCGGCTCCTCGCGCTTCTGGGCCACGCGCCTGCCCGCCGTTGTTGAAAACGGCGGGAAGATCAACAATGTGAGTCACAAATGAGGTGCTCTCTTTCTCTCTCTCTCTCTCTCGATTGGTCCTTGTATTCATTATAGGATAGTACAAGGTAGATAGGCCTCGGAGCGGAGAGCATTGGCCTGCAGCTGCGTGCGCTGGAGAGTGACGCTGGAGAGTGACGCTGGAGAGTGGCGCTGGAGAGTGACGCTCCAGCACTGGCTGGCGGTACTCGGTGAGTAACTTAGTTGCCACTGTCACACAAAATCGCCAGATCCCAGCTTCCAACCAGAACGGTTCAACGAACAGCGAGTCATAACCTGGTACCCGAGCTCCACGCGTGGACCTGGTGTGGCTCATGTGCTGTGCTGTGACCGGACGGAGGCGCCTGAGAAAGGCATTCCACCGCAGTGCAACCCACCCAACTCCACCCGACCCCTCCCCACCGTGTCCTGTCCTCAGGCATCCGAGTCGTATCCACAGCTGGGCGGGGTCCTATCACAGGACAGCGCAACCAACCCCTTGTTCCACGGGTGGAACCTGGTGTGGGTGGTGTATTGTGACGGTGGCGCCTACAGCAGCACGCGGGGGAGGGCGGACCTGGGGGAGGGCGCATCGGTATACATGCAGGGGCGGCAGATTCTAGATGATATTATCACTGGTGGGCAGCAGATTGTAGATCATATAACCACTGGTGGGTGGGGAGGGGAAGGGGGACGGATAAAGAAGGCCTTGGGGGCCATGGGGAAGAGTGGAAAGGAGGAGTAAGTGGGGTGTGGTTTTATCTGTCTACATGCAGGGAATAGGAGGGGGAGAGGGGGGATATAGTTGAACAGGAGGGGGAGGGTGGAAGGAGGAGGAGATGGGGTGTGGTTGATCTGTCCCCCTCTTGCCTTTCACCACCCTTCCCCTCCCCTCTCACCATTCATCTCGCAGATCTGTGCACGCAGAGGGGCATGGGGGCGGCGTCGCATGTCCTCTTCTCGGGCAGCTCAGCGGGCGGCCATGCCATCATCATGCACTGCGACCGCCTCGCTGCTGCCTTCCCCCACGCCAAAGCCACCTGCCTTGCCGACTCGGGCTTCTTCGTTGGTGAGCGCTGTGATCTTGAGGCCCGTGCAGCAGGGTGAGAGCAGGGTTCTTTGTTGCTCACCTACCCTGTCTTTCTTGGTGAGCTTCGTGCACCGTTAACCACTGTGTTTTGTTTGTTGGTAGATTTTCTCCACTTTTCAACTTTGCCTTCTTTTTTGGTGAGCAGTCTCAGGAACCCAGTAGGCACAATTCCCCCTTCTGAGTCATGTCAGTTGTAGCCTTGTTCACCAAAAGGCTTCCTTCCCTGCTCTTCCTCCCTCCTCCCCCCCTCTCCCCCACCTCCCCCTTGCCCCTCCCTTTTTCCTCCCCCTTCCCATGCAGACGCCAAGGACCGCTTTGGGGTGTACTCGTGGCGGGAATCCATTCGGCAGCTCACCGCTCTGCACCTCATTGAAGTTCCCAAATGCCCTGCAGGTAAAAACAGCATGAAGATACCACCCACCAGGTGAAAACATGTGAAAACAACCATAGACAATTGTCCTTTCAAGGGTGATGGGTGGGTGGGTGGTGGTTGATTTGTGCACTCTTTCGAGCGCATCTCAGTAAGAATTCATCATCTCCCTCTTCTGAAGCTACTCGAGAGGCTCTCCTTTTCTCTCCTCCTTTCCCTCCCGATCAGGTGCACAAGCGAGGGACTACTGGGTCTGCTTCTTCCCAGTCACTGCGTCATCATGTTGCTCTCCTACCCCCCCCTCCCCCCACCCCCTCCACACACACCCCCTTCCTTCCTACTTCCGTCCGCCTCAGGATCACAAGAGAGTGACAACTGGGTCTGCTTCTTCCCTGAACACACCCTTACACGGGTCTCCACGCCCCTCTTCCTCTTCAATTCTTTCTTTGACTGGCGATTCATCCAGTATGGGCATCAGCTTCCTATCGAGAATCCACAGTACTCGGCCAAGTGCCTCAACAGGCAGATATTACAAAGAAGAGCAAGTGTACTGGCACGAAAACGCATGTGGGATAATGTGAGGTGGAGGCACCACTACTGCTCGCGGCAAGAGCTGGATGCGGTTTTCTCCGTGGGTTATGTTGTGTACCGTATGACCCCGGATATAGGCGCCGGCCTATTACAGGCGCCGGCGCTTCTATCTGGAGCATGGCGCTTATGGCCGTTCCTCGATTATAAGCGCCCCCCCTTTTGTACCCTTCCTTATTATAAGCGCCACCGTCATAGTTAACACAATTTTTATTAACACAACTAAAGCAAAGAACAACTATAACATCGTTAGGTTCAACAAACACTACAAGTTGGTCCTTTTTGATCTGCTATTCTACCTAGTTGCTACCAGAACTACTCCTCGTCAGACTCGGCCTCCTGGCAGTTGTTGCCAAAGAAGCCGCCGGCGACGATGCTGTCGTCTACATCCACTTCCGCCGTCAACTGGCTCCGCCTGTGCGCCATGGCGAGGTGGTCCTCACTGCCGTCAAGGGCGTTGCTAATGCCGCAGGTGAGAAAGGAGCGCTTGATGAGGTCGGAGGGTACCGTATTACCCCGGATAAAGCCGCAGGTGCGCTTATAATAAAACAGTGTTTTTTGGGGGGGTGCGCTTCTAATTGAGGTGTCTGTATAAGCGCATGCGCCTATAATAAGGGAAAATTGAAATTCACTTTTAAACATACTAAACTGAAGCCCGCAATAAGGCGAATCCACCGGACCATGCAACAAGTGGGATCGTGCATGGTTTTCAGGCAAAAACAGCAGCGGTTCGGTTTCCCACCGCACAAAAATGTCTAGAACCATCGAAAGTGACAGCAGTGATGGGATGTTGCCGTGCGGCCCAATCACAGCCGCATGCGCTGCGTGGCATCCGCATTTCTTCCGAACCCTCTCGAAGGGTGGGGAAGATTCCCTGCCAGCGCAGAGAATATGCTGCCACGCAGGCTCCTCTACGGGGGTAGGCGGGGGTTTCCTGCCTGTCATTGACGAGGACCCCGAGCCGCTAGCACGCAGGGGTCCCCGTCTTTGCCCATTTCTGCACCGTCCTCCTCATTTTTTTTCATTCAGTTTCTAGTCTAGCCCGCCTGGCTGGCGAAGCCATGGCGGAATTCAGTGGGACGCACTTCCTTTTCAAGAAGAAACCAACTCGTGCGTGGCGACTAACCGCGGACGGGTGGTATACCCGTGAGCCACCAGCGCCTCCAGTGCCACCTACACCCCCTGCACCGCCTGCTCCGCCTGCTCCTCCTGCACCTCCTGCTCCTCCTGCTCCTCCAGCTCCTCCGAATCCTCCGAGTCCTGTTCCTGACGCGAATTCTCACCAACGGCCCGTGCTCCAGCTGTATTTGCCAGCCACTTTCGACGAGTGGCTGTCTGAACCGGACACACCCAAGGCTAAGCGAATCGATGCTCCGCCGATTGCACCGCGGTGGGGAAATCCAGAAGCATGCACGTGGGACGAGTCCGCTGTGGGCGCCGAAGATGACGTGGCCGCCGATAAACAACCCACATGCGACGGCGACACTGGAGGCGACGGTGGAGGCGACGGTGGAGTCGACGGTGAAGAAGACGCCGAGGAGGATGTGTTCCCAGATCGTGAAGCAACAGACGCGGATGACGACGGTGTGGAATCTTGGTGGCGCGACGCACCACGCGAGAAGATGCCGATCCCATCCTATCCGCCGATTAACAAAAAGCGACCCCACCCCTCCTCTGAGAACCGAGATGCCCGCCCCCCCTCTCCCAGGCACAAGCCGACTCAACACAAACGGCAGCGCTACACCGCCCTGGAGAAACTGAAGTGGCTCGTTCGGCTGGAGCTTGCGGCATCGATAAGCGAGGTCGCGCGGGAGTCCGGCATACACCGCAAGTGCCTCACAGATTGGAAAAACCAAGCGGAGGAGCTCAAGTCGGCACACAGCGCTCGGTGTCGGCTTCATGGGCGCGGAAGGTCTTCCTGGTACAGACCCATGGAGCTGAAAGTGTACGCCCAACTCCTGGACTGGCGACGCCGCGGTGTGGCAGTATCAGTCGGCCGGCTGCAAGACTGGTCAAAAGAGGTGATGAAGGTGTTGTTCCCGGACGTCAAGTGGAAGGCGAGTCAGCGCTGGACGGAGCGGTTCCGCAAGCGGTGGAATCTCACCGTGCGCATGAAAACAAAGGTGGCGCAAAAGACACAGCAGCGTAAGTGCCTTTCCGTGTACCTTCTAAGCGTGAAATTTTATGTTGTATCTCTGTACTTTCTTGCCTATGTATGTTTATATGTAGCGGTGCTCATCCGCCCTTTTACCCGTCCCTCCCTCCCCGTGCGCAGACATGGCGAAGCAGTGCAAGGAATTTTGGCAGTTTGTCCGTGACGCACGCAACGAGTACGACATCGACAACCGTTATATTATCAACGCCGACCAGGCGCCTTTGTGGCTGGAGATGCTGGCGACTACCACGGTGGAGCAGAAGGGCGTGAAGTCGGTGCCCATCCGCAGCGGTGGTTACCAGAAAGAGAGAGTCACTGTGATGCTGGCGTGCATGGCGACGGGCGAGAAGTTGAAGCCGTGGGTGTATTTCAAGCGCAAGACCCTCCCAAAGGGTGACTTCCCGAACGGTAAGAAGCTCCTTATGCGAAATGAAAAGGAAAGAAAAATTGTAATCTAACCGGCGCTTGCTTGTATGCAGACGTCGTGGTCGGCTGCCAAGCAAACGGTTGGATGGAGGCCTCGGGCGTCATCGAGTGGCTCGCCTCAGGCGTGGTGCCGTTCCTGAAGCTGAAGTTCGGATTGCAGAGCCGGAGCGCTATGCTGGTGCTCGACTCCTATCGTGGTCACCTGACACCCGAAGTCAAGGCAAAATTCGCGGAACTCAACATCGTGCCGGCGGTCATCCCGGCGGGATGCACGGCAGACTTGCAGCCGCTCGATGTGTCGGTCAACAAAAGCTTCAAGGCGAGTGTTCGGCAGCAGTACCAGACCTGGTTCGAGCAGGACGGCATGAACATCCTGACGCCCGCAGGTACGCAAAGTGTTCTCCCGTGACCGCTTTGTCTGCTTGTCTGCCTGCTTGTGGACTCACGTGTTTCCCACCCCCGTATCTGTGGTGCAGGGAACATCAAGAAACCACCTCCGGAGGTGGTGCTCAAGTGGATTTCGCGGGCGTGGAAAGCTGTGCCCGCCGACCTGATTAAGAAAGCCTTCCTCACCTGCGGCATCAGCAATGCCCTTGACGGGAGTGAAGACGAACTCGTGCTGGCGCACCGGAGAGGTCAGCTGTCCCACGAGGTAGAGGTAGATGACGACGTGCAAGCAGACGGGTTTTTTGGCAACAACTCCACGGAGCCTGAGTCGGACGAGGAGTAGGCCTTAGGCTAGACAAATCTTGAAAATGGTGTGTAGGCTAGTATTGAAGTTAAATGTATTTGACATTGAAGTTTTAGTTGAAATTGTTAGCTAGACAAGTGTAGCTTGGATGTAGGTTGTTTAAAAAGTGCTAAATTTCAATAAAAAATACTTGTTATACAGCAGGGGTGCGGTTATAATAAGTAACGATTTTCCAGGGGGTGCGCTTCTAATTGAGGATCGGCCATAAGCGCATTGCTCCAGATAGAAGCGCATGCGCTTAACATAGGCCTGCGGTTATATCCGGGGCTATACAGTACTGCTTTCCACGCCCGTGAAATCCATCGAAGGACCACTTCTGGGGGGGGCTTCTTCAGATTCCCTGCACCACAACAGAGACACCCGGGAAAGCCGTGTCAGCATCCAAGGGTGAGGGTTGGAATAACATGCGTGAATAACGGAAACAACGTACCTGCTGGTGTCAGCCGCTCCAGGCCCTCCTCCTCAAACCACTTCTGGTACTGCTGTCGAATAGATGCTTTGAAGCTCTTGTTGATGGAGACGTCGAGCGGTTGAACCTCAGCCGTACAGCCCGACGGGATGACAGCAGGCACGCAGTTGATCTCGCGGAGCTTCTCCTTCACCCCATCGGTAAGGTGGCCGCGGTAGGAATCCAGCACGAGCATGGAGCTCTTCGCACACCTGCCAAACCGGGGCTTCAAGAAGGGCTTGACTTCCTCCTCAAGCCAGCGGATGACGCCGTCTGCGTTCATCCACCCGTTCTCGTGGCAAGCCACGACCACATCTGCACACGCAAGGCACATAAACTGTTAGCGCGGCATGAGAAAAAAAAACATACGGTAAAACAGCGGCAGTTGCTGCTTGTTACCCCGAGGAAAGTCGCCCTTCGGCAGCGTCTTCCGCTTGAAAAACACCCACGGCTTGAGCTTCGCCCCGTCCGCCGTGCACGCCAGCATCACGGTCACACGCTCCTTCTGGTAACCTGCACTCCGGATGGGCACCGACCGTACGCCCGTCTGATCCACGGTCGTGGTGGCGGGCATCTCCAGCCAGAGCGGCGTCTGGTCAGCGTTGAGGATCCAGGTAGTCTCGATGCCGCGCGCGCGACGCATGTCTCGGAAAAAACGCCAGAAGTTCTGGCACTGCAGCGCAACATCTG